CCATAGATCTTAGTTTCATCTGCAAATCTGATGATGCTGTTTGTAACATTTTCAGCTATATCGTTGACGTATATGGCAAGAAGGGTTGGCCCCAAAATGAAACCTTGAGGTATCCTACTCTCTTCATATTGTACCTTCAGGTACTCCAGGTCAGTGTACCTTCAGGTACCCCATGTTAGATTACCATGAAGTACCCCAGGTTAGTGTACCATATGAAGGACCCCAGGTTAGTGTACCATATGAAGGACCCCAGGTTAGTGTACCACATGAAGGACCCCAGGTTAGTGTACCATATGAAGGACCCCAGGTTAGTGTACCATATGAAGGACCCCAGGTTAGTGTACCATATGAAGGACCCCAGGTTAGTGTACCATATGAAGGACCCCAGGTTAGTGTACCATATGAAGGACCCCAGGTTAGTGTACCATATGAAGGACCCCAGGTTAGTGTACCATATGAAGGACCCCAGGTTAGTGTACCATATGAAGGACCCCAGGTTAGTGTACCATGAAGGACCCCAAGTTAGTGTACCACGAAGAACTTCAGATTAGTGTACCATGATGTACCCCAGGTTTGTGTACCATATTGTACCCCAGGTCAGAGTACCATGAAAGACAATAGGTTAGTGTACCAAGAAGGACCCCGGAATAGTGTAACATGAGGAACCAAAGTTAGCGTTCCATGAATCCACTCAATAAAACGTCTAAATTATTGGAATCGATTAAAATCTTTAAATCTTTACTATTCTCTTGAACGTGGGTGGAAGAGATCACAGGAATAACATATACTTGGAAAAAGTTAGCGGGACTGGTTCCAAATTTTCACACGGAAATAACATCACATGAGACCAGGAGGCATGGCAGGATGTGCAGAATAGCTCTGAGGTGCAAGAGGTACGCTAAGTGACAGCTCTATCAACATCAAAGGCCCAAGACTTTTCACCCGCTACTCATAAGGGCCATATAACTAGCCGGCCTCTCACGATCTTCAAAAGAGAAGTGAGTGGATAAATACTTCCAATGGATACCCGATCAACCAGGCTGTGATTCATGCATCAAGCTGCGAGCAGCCGCGTGCTGCTCTCTCAAAGCTGGGGCATATTTGTGGGATCTCCTGGTACACTTGGCTTCATTCCTGTCTCATAATCGGGAATCCCAGGTTCGATTCCTGGGCGGAACACAAATGGTTGGGTACATTTCCTTTCATCTAATGTTTCTTTTCACCAGGCAAATAAATAGGTAGCCATGAGTTAGGCAACTGTTGTGGGGGTTACATCTATAGGAGGGGTTGTTGTTCGACCTTGTGGGAGGGGGGGAGGGGGCCCAGAGGCACGCATCAAAGTCCATATATATAGGATTCATGTCCCTAACAAAACCAATTAATCAACACATCTTGCTACTCTTTACAAGAAAAACAATGTAACTTTTCACAATGTTGAAGGCAACTATGCAAGATGATAATGTTGGCCACCTAAGCTAGTTAAAAACAGCATTCCATTTGAGAACAATTGCTGCCCAGATCGGTCTCTTTAATTAATTTTTGTTTATTACTCTACATTTTGACTTTTTATATATGTATACATATATAATAACGCCATACATTGCTTTAAACATTGCTAAGACGTTAAAATAGAGTAATATTAACTCAGTGCTCCCCCAGTTGCTGCCACAACCAGTGTGGAGTGTGAAGGCGTCCCCATTATGTCTGACGGAAGATATTGTATATAGTTAAGGGAGTGACCTTGGCTCAGCTCAGTGGCGGGGCTACACGAGGCTGCGTGCAGTAGGCTATGAGACCTGAGAGCAATATATACCCTTCAGTATCATCACTAACCTTTCAGTAAACCTTACCTCACCTAACCAGCCAGAACCTGACCAGAATATGTTATAAAAATGTTATTTCATAGAGGGTGGTGCAAGAGGTGTGTGAGGCCAGTGTTGATGCCAGTACAGGTTGTGGCTCCTCCTTGGTGCTCACGAGGCTGTCGCCCGTCTTCAACCAACCCATCCTCTCCGGCATTCACAACGTCACTAAACTGATGTATTAAATTGCCCACACCTAACCAAACCGAGGACCAACGAATAGAAAACGAATCATCAGGTCAATTTTGCAGGTCGCTATGATTTTCAGTACATTAGTGTTGGCGTTAGGGGATTTATATGTCAAAATACGATATACTGTCGGAGAGGACGAGCTGCGTCAAGACTTGAAAGCTCCAATATATACTCTGCCAAATACCTGAGCGTGCTATAAATATTAACACATAATTTTGTATCTAACACTGCAAGCATTACTTACGCTTTTTCGAAGCCTGAAACCAAAATTGAACAGAATTGTTGAAAAATATTTGTTTAAATTGGTTTTAAACTGGAGTCGTCTATTTCCCGGGGTCGATGTGTTGATTTAGTTAAGTACGGATTACAATGGCATATCAATAAAGATACTAGGAAAAGTATAAAACTCAAGCTCACATTTGAAAGTCCGGACTTCAGATTTTTGTTTGTTTGCAGGAATATTCCTGCGCGGGCCCTAAGTCTCTGGCTGGCCCACTGAGTGTTACTTATTTCTGTTTGACTTAGGTGGAGTATGAGTATTTATGACTCGTATGGTCGCTTCTGTAAAATTTTGTCCCATGTGTTTAACAACTTCTGCTCTGTTGAATCTAAATTGAACTCTTATTGGGTTTGTAACTGTGCACTGTGTTAGATAATGTTCCAGTGGTCTGTCGGACATTTCTCCTAGCATTCAGATGTCAGAAAATGTCTGCACCTCAAGACGACACAATAGGTCTGAACTTCAAGATAACAGGAAGCAGAAGACTGGAGTTCTACCAACCAGGCAACAAACCCCCACAATAAGAGAGGCCCAAACCAGACCACGGGTATCCAACTGGGACTTTAGGACTCCACTGGGGTGCCACTTGAGTAGTTTTAGTTAGTTAGTTTAGTTCATTTATTATGCACCCCATACCCATCCTGTGGGTGGTAGTGGAAAGGGTTACAGAGGCACATAATGGGCTCAGGGACTGAACCCCACAATTCATTTAGCTAAGCAAGTTACAATCTTGATGAGCTAGTTACAAAATTCAGTATAAGTCGTCACATCAACAATGGGTTCGAGATCGACCACAAGTACAGGTTCTAAATTAAGCAACTGACATATGTGGAGAGCTAGTGTCACAATTGATATGTATGTCCTGCACACCGCCCCCCATCCAGTGGGCAGCGGTGGATAGGTTACAATCACTTAGTTACTACCTACAGTTAGCAAACTGGGGATATTTGACTAAAATTTCAGGTAGCAGATCATTTTGAATGAAATATTGACACATCGTTGGAACATTGGTTATAGAATTGTCTCTAAATTCACGTATATTTTCGCACTCCATCACATAGTGACGGAGGGTGTGCGAATAATTTTG